TGCTTTTGGGAACCGGACACTGCGCTGCGCCGACACTCATCTAAATTCGTAGCAACAATAAAGCAATGGGGATTCTGCCTCTACAGAGGACATTTCGTGTGTTTGTTCCCCAGGAATCACCGTCCCTTGGTTCCGCTAAAATTCAATTAAATGCCGCATAATTCAGACACGATAGTCACTCGAGTTGTGTTAGAGCTGCCGTGGTTGTGACGACTGGATGGACTTAATTTACTAAGGCGCTTCCTTCACTGAATATCAAAGAAAGGCTGCCTCTACTTGCTTGAAAATCACCCTTAAAATTTCGAGAAAGAAAAATAAAACAAGGACGCGGCTGGCTTCTTAATCAGCTCTTTGAGCTCAGACGCTCTGGCAGGACGCAGAAAAAGTTTAGTGCGCTTTCTCGGGCTTCCGACATCAAGAAACTCATTTTGATACCGAGGAAGTTTAAACTAGAAATAAATGAAATGTTATCTTTCTGAAGAATTTCGACGTCACCGATAATTCTTATTTGATACCCGGCAATAGACGCGTCGTCAACAACATTGCGGTCGTAAATAACATTATCAAGACAATTGCAACTGAAGAAATAGAGGTCATTCGCTTCTCGCTTTGATTTTAAAGTAAATTTTATCCATTGCGTAGTTATCCCAACCTCTCAAAATAAATTATGAAAGGAAGTTGGATCCTTAATAACCTGGGCTTACTTAGGGTAAACTTAGTTTTATTTACTAGTATTTTCATATTCATTTTGATAAATTTTTTGTGCTCGTAAGTAGTTCAGTTCTTTTCGCCTGAATCAGTTAGCTCAAAACCTGGACAACGCGCTGCCTGCTCTACATGCACCCTGCTATTCTGTTCGTTTAACGTGTCAATATAATATGCAAGTGCTTGTCACGTGTCAATATAATACATTGTGCTTCCATTCCATTTCACTTGTAAATAATATCTTTTCTAATGCTCCGTCTTACGTATTTTTTATTCGTTTTCTCTAAACTTCATATCACGGATGATTCGTTTAATATCTTGGCATGGCGAAGCGTCTGAGGTCCCACGAGACTGCGAATGAACTATATAATGAATATATAAGGAATAAATTGGAATTAAAATACATAGCATGCAAGTGAAATTTGTATTTCATCCTTGCAAATAATTTGTTGATATTGGTGGACTGCAAGAATATATGACATTTACAATAACCGTTTTATTCAAATTTGGTTGAACAATTCATTTACTTTATTGAATCATTTGAAAAAAAATTCATACCCTAGATTCAGTTTGGCCCAGTTAAAATTAGTGCTAAAGTTAACTATAACCGCTTGACAATCTACAATCGATAAAAATATAACTCAGTACTCACTGCAGTGAGTGACAGAGAGCGCATTTTCTCGTCGACGAAAACGTGAAGTCACGCACGGACGGACAGACGGACGGACGGACATGACGAGCACAATAGGGCATTTTTTCCATAAATTAGAAAGTGCGCTAGGAACCGTTTTGGCTCCTTATTAGGGCAACTCGTTAGCCGTCATTAAGGCAAAGCCGTAGCCGGGCTTTGTCTCGACAGAAGCAGCAGCAGCATCGGTGCGATGCTCACGCGGCGCTCTCAGAGCCCGTAGGATCGAGCAGAGCCGCAAGTAAAATCATGGCTGTTTTGACAGCGGCCTTAATGCGACCGTATCATTCATGTCACAAGAAACGCAACCCTGTGGCTATTGCTTAATGATAGTCATGGTATGACTATCATTATGAAAATGCACATTGCACTGCAATGTTTAGCATCAAGGCTACGGAGTCGACGACCGTGCTAGATACACGGTATATCTACCCGACCGCACCACTGCACCAACTGTGCAGTGGTTGTCTGTGCAACCATCCCACTGCACCAACTGTGCAGTGGTTGTCTGTGCAACCATCCCACTGCACCAAATGTGCAGTGGCCGACTGCACCAACTGTGCTGACCACTGCGCCACGGCGCTATATACTGTGGGCAACCGGTGGGCCCTTGAAGCGCGATGACGGCTGTGAATGGCAGTCTGACGGCGCCAATCGCTGCTGGCGTTGGCAGAAATTTGTTTCTGCAGCGATCTAATAGGAATTACATAGCCGATGGCTACATTTCCTGAAAAAAAAGTAATAGAAAACTATCCATAGTTTCTTAACAATATTTAAATTTTAATGCTGTGTTGCAAAGTTTTCAATCATGCAAATATTTTTCCTATCGAATTATGATAAATTCAGGTGAATTTTGCATATGTCACTATGAAATGAAATTAGAAAGATAAATGCAATGATCTGCGTTTACCTCTTGTATCAGTGGTGAATGATAGTGGGTCACAGCTCGAGTACAATTAGAATGTAGTTCGAGATGTGCACACGAACATCCGATAGTGCGGAGACCAAAGTTTGTAGTCAGTATAGAAGCGAGGGCCACGTATCGAAGGAACTTAGGAGCGTCGGTCATGTTTTGGCCAAAAGTTAGGAGAAAGTAGAACTATGGATGGCAGAGACGCTGGCAGATGCTCGCCGGATTCGTTTCCGATAGCATTACTCCTTTACGATCACAACCTCGCATAGGAATATCGGTCGGGGCCAGACTTTATGACATCTCACTCGAACTCCCGGACTGGCTGCCAGGTGACATCTGCTGTCCGGTCGACAGAAATGTCTTGAATATCACGCACTGCCACGACAGCATCATTTTCGAATAAAATTATTAAAATGTTTTATTATCTTATTCCACAGTGCAATGCGCAACGTCATTAGAGCAGACGCTTCAGGAACTTGCATGCGAGGGAATGGCAAATGGAGGCCAATAACTATTTTCCACTCCATGTGGTCAAGATTTAGGATATTTTATAAAAGCAGCACTAAATCTATCCGCCAAAAAAGTTAAAATCAAGCTAACATTTTAATTCTATCATATTTTAAATATGGAGAACATTACTGAATCAAATCTTAAAGTCTCAATACTATAAGCATAAATAAGTATTCGTAAATCATGGAAAGTCAGTAAATTTTAATAATTATTAGGCTTTAATTAATATTTCTGGTGATATTGATCGAAAACTGAATATTTTGGGTAATACTGATAAAAATGAAATAATGGATACGATAATGGGTTTTGTCAAATATAAAAAAAAATGATAGGAATGAAGTTATGGCCATTTTTTAAAAGAACAAAATTTAATTTGAAAATAATTGATTCCCTATGCTATTCTCCTGATATGAAATAATTACCGAATCAAAAGGATTTGAATGCCTTGCTCCCTAGTTCTACATTGCCAATAATGCAGTCGTATATGTGGTGAAAATTTTTTTAAATCTGACAGGACAAAAAGCTGTTTGTATTTATAACTTGCTCGCAATTTATAACTCGCTTAGAACTCACGGCCATAAATCGTATTAATGTATTTTTGGAAGCAAAATATCCCACAGGAAGAGAACAGGAAATTACTGTAAATAATGACCTCACAAAAATGACCTGATAGCCACCGCGAAGATGTTAGAAGCGCGGCGTAGGGTCTGATGCAATCGAGCTGCCATCCAAGTCAAATGATCGATTGGAGGATCAGCCCTAGTCTACCAGACCATGAGCTCTCCAGAAGTTGTCAGCGATCGCTGCAGGATTTATTTTCATTGAGACTGCATGCAGGTCTCGACGCAACCGCTTCCAACTTCCCGGCCAAGGAAATTAAATTCCACTATCGGAAAAAGACTCGCAACGGAAATTCCTGGCGAATCAGTAGAAGTGCAAATGGATGCGAGCCGGGAACATTCGTCGCGATTTAGGACACAATTAATCGACTCAGCTTCTGGGGTTTGTTTCTATCAGTAGAACACGACGTCAGGCGGGCTCGCGTTTGGAGAACTGGGGCCATACTTTCAAAATTCGCTAAGTGAACGCAAGTACCTACGATCTATTTTCTTGTCTATGATTGGTGGATTTTGCATGACAGGCCGTCAATGATTGGCTGATGAACTTACGATCTCTTAACTTTTTTTGAAAGTATATGTAGGCCCTGGCTTCTACCGTGGGCTCTTAATTACTCTAGATTTGCTGTCTTTTTATTACAACACTTCTCTTTAACTTCACTTCTTGTTTGTTTGTCTGTCTGTCTGTCTGTCTGTCTGTCTGCTACAAATCTTATAATCAAAATTTAACACACTTTTACTTATCCTATCGATCTGAAATTTTGCACACTTGCGTATAGTTGGAGACAATGCAAGAATCAAATGACAAAATAAATGATTTTATGAATAATTTTTTTTTTTAATATTGAAAAATTGCAAAAATAATTTTGTCAGCTACAAATCTTATAACTGATATTTGACACACTTTTACCTGTCCAATTGATCTGAAATTTTGCACACTTGTGTGAAGTCGGAGGCAATGCATGAATCAATTGACAGAATAAATAATTTTGTAAAAAAAATTTGTAAACTAAAAAAGATGAAAAATTATTTTTTTTAATATTCGAAAATAAAATGAGAAATTCATTATACATCTTTAACATTGGAGACACTGGATTCTTTAGAAGTGTTGTCTTTGAAAATTAATTTTTAAACGTATATTATTTTGGTATTTGCTTGGGACTGTGATCATCATTTGTTTCCTATTATGTATCGTCGCTCGATTTGCAGCCCATTCTTTATTCTGGTGAAGAGAGAGCATGTGAAGGCGGTCATAATCTTGCTTATTAATATTTTTCATGACTATAACAGCAAATTGATGAATGAACAACTTTTAGTTTTAATTGAAGAATGTTCCAAATTTCTCGCTATTCGGAGGTCCTGTGAAATGTTACATCGGTAAAGCAGTTGAAATTTGAAATTTTTTCATTCTCATTTTTTTAAACCCTAAGTGTTATTAGGAAGAGTGCTTTGTGCACCCGGGTGTGGTTGATGCCATTAAGTGTGGAAGATACCCCTGAGTGTGGTTGGTATACAAAACACATGCATTACCCCTACAAGGAGTGATCTTCCTGGCGAGGCCTCCTACCTAGCTGGTGTGGTGGTCCCTTCGGCGTGTCTCTCCACTGGCTCGGTCCTCTCCTTGGCGTGGTCTTCTCCTTGGCTTGGTCTTCTCCTTAGTGTGGTGTCCTCCTTGGCGTGATCTTCTCCTTGGCGTGGTCTCCTGCTGGCAAGGTCTCCTTACTTGGGTGGTCTCCTCCTGGGCTTTGTCTCCTCCTTGGATTGGTCCCTCCTTGGCGCGGTCTCCTCCTTGGTGTGGTCTAATCCTTGGCGTGGTCTCCTCCTTGGCGTGGTCTCTCTCTTGGCGTGGTCTCCTCCTTGGCGTGGTCTCCTCCTTGGCGTGGTCTCTTTCTTGGCGTGGTCTCCTCCTTGGCGTGGTCTCCTCCTCGGCGTGGTCTCCTCCTTGGCGTGGTCTCCTCCTTAGCGTGGTCTCCTCCTTGGCGTGGTCTCCTCCTTGGCGTGGTCTTTTCATTCGTGTGGTCTCCTCCTTGGCTTGGTTTTCTCCTTGGCGTGGTCTCCTCCTTGGCTTGGTCTCCTCCTTAGTGTGGTGTCCTCCATGGCTTGGTCTCCTCCTCGGCGTGGTCTCCTCCTTGGCGTGGTCTCCTCCTTAGCGTGGTCTCCTCCTTGGCGTGGTCTCCTCCTTGGCGTGGTCTTCTCCTTCGTGTGGTCTCCTCCTTGGCGTGGTCTTCTCCTTCGTGTGGTCTCCTCATTGGCTTGGTTTTCTCCTTGGCGTGGTCTCCTCCTTGGCTTGGTCTCCTCCTTAGTGTGGTGTCCCCCATGGCTTGGTCTCCTCCTTGGCGTGGTCTCCTCCTTGGCGTGGTCTCCGGTTGCGACTATAGAGCTACAAGACTTAGGCTATAATTGCCCTCTACGTGAAATTTATGAATTTAGTCCTTTAAGAAGCCTCTAATCTGCCATGTTTCCCAGTAATATAACCAAAAGTGCGTGATTCTTATCAAAAGCTGCGGTAGCAATCGACGATTGCTTTTTTCGGATTAAAAAGTTGTGATACATTTTCTCAAGCAATATTCTGCAAACATGCGCCTTTTTTGTGCGAAAATCTTACAATAATTAATTGCGTTGCACTAAAAAATTGTACTCTTTTCAACCAGAAAAGGTCGCATAAGTTCAGCGGCGTTTCCACGCATGGATCTCTTCCCTCATTTTTTGAGGGTGAACCAACCTTTCTATTACGCTATCTGATGCCTCTTATTTACATAATTTCATGACACTTGTGGCTTTGATTAGATCCTGGCTTATTTCCCCCCCCCCCCATGCTTCAAAAATGTGTAAATTAAAATAATAAAATATCGGTGTCGTTCAACGAAACCTCGCGCTCACTTTGGCGACTATCAGCCACTAATTTCAGCCGAGGGCAAATATATTCGAGGTACGAAAGCAAATTTAATTTGACGTCAAAGCTGTTCGCCAGTTTTAATTAATCCGATGAACCTCCTCATCTGTAAAGGCATCTGATTTTTCTGTTCAGTTTGATGACATCTTTAATCGACCATGTCTAATAAAGACATGCCTGCGCCATGTTGGCATTTATTACACGTCATGTAGGTAAATCTCAGAATGCATTCCAAAAGATTTCAGGAATGACAATATCTAGCCAATAATTTTATTTGACATAAAATTGGATGGAGTAGAAACTTGAAACACTACAGAGGCTGACGCTGAGTGTCCAAATGCCTCACTTTAGGGATGACAACAGAGTGTCCGAATGTCTCACTTTAAGGCCGACAACAAAGTGTCCGAATGTCTCACTTTGAGGCCATAGCCAGAGTGTCCGAATGTTTCACTTTAAGACCGACAAAAAAGCGTGTTCGAATGACTCAATTTAAGGTCAACACCTGAGTGTCCGAATGTCTCACTTTAAGGCCGACAACGAAGTGTCCAAATGTTTCACTTTAAGGACGACAACAAAGTGTCCGAATGTCTCACTTTAAGGCCGACAACAAAGTGTCCGAATATCTCACTTTAAGGCCGACAACAAAGTGTTCGAATGACTCACTTCAAGGCCGACAACATAGTGTCCGAATGTCTCACTTGAAGGCCGACAATAAAGTGTCCGAATGTCTCACTTTAAGGCCGACAAAAAAGTGTCCGAATGTCTCACTTGAAGGCCGACAACAAAGTGTCCGAATGTCTCACTTTAAGGCCGACAAAAAAGTGTCCGAATGTCTTACTTTACGACCGACAACAAAGTGTCCGAATGTCTCACTTTAAGGCCGACAACAAAGTGTCCGAATGTCTCACTTTAAGGCGACAACAGAGTGCCAGAGATCAGGAACGTCAGCTTCAGGCCGCGTAAACATTTTCATCCAGGCATCTGGAGCTGCAATTTCCCGTGCTTAACTTTCGCCAGTTCCATAAGTTGGGCAGAGGACGTCTGGACTTCAAAGTTGGACTCGAAAATGAAGAGTTCCTTGAGGTGCGTCGTTTGAGCTAATGAACATGTTTATCGCTGCGAGACGAAGGATTTCTTATTTGTTGGCGGTCCATTTTTTTCGGGAATTTGACATTTTTCCTGACCGAGAGAAGACGCAACATAGCCCGTAGCTTACGAAATCTCGGCTTTTATTTTGAGCTTCTTGCGATTTTACGCCACGGTATTTATTTCTGATGAAAGTTTAGACATTATACTTTTGGATATAAGAGACAGAATAAGATAAATGTGTTCTGCCGGGTGCCGAGGCCTACTATTAAGCGTGACTGCTCCTGATTTCTAATACTTAGGAAATCCAAATCGACGGAATGAAGCCAAAGTGTGCCCGAAGACTCAATAGCATCAGACAAAAAATGCTAGGGAGGAAACGTACATTAGCTTTGCACAGTTCACTCAACCCAATATTGATCTCACCATCCTTAATTTGCTGCATTTTTCATATGTTACCAGTAAAAAAAGATTTAAAAATTCCTCAAACGATTTAACGCTTTCAAAAACTTTCCGTAATGCTGATTTCCACACTGTCAAAGGTAAATTTAAAGTCTCATTTCAAGTTAAGGAAGGTTTTGGCGCGATTGTATTCAACAAAGTGTTTTCAACAAAGTGTTTTGTATTCAACAAAGTGTGTATAATAAAAGTGTTTCGTGTTTATTTCGTTTTTGGGTAAATGGCTTATCCTCAATTACAATATGATTATTCAAGTCCTAAAATTAGGATGGAATAGTTCGCCGATGAACCAGTGGAAGTCAAAATCGAAAGGAGGTGGAAGAAGAGGCATGGAAAGGAGAGGATTATTTGAGGACGGGAAGAAATTGGGAGTCAAGTAGTAGAACTTCGTTTAGCGGGGTGGATAGCTAGAGGTCAGCATAGCCCAAGTCCACAGTGCGATTCATATACCTTCCCGAGCGTAACGCAGCCGGGCATCTTCACGGCTTTTGACACAAAGCGCCCACACAACAGCGCCGTTCAGTCACAGGCCGGAGCGCATACAGGCCGGAGCACAACTGGACGGAGCGCAACAGGCCCTACCGCAACAGCTACTCCTAACGGAACTTAACCTTACCTAACCTAACCTGCGCCGCCTGTTGCGGTAGGGCCTGTTGCGCTCCGGCCAGTTGGGCTCCGGCGCTGTGAAGCAGTGGCAGTGTTGTGCACAGCGGATTTACTGTTAGCCGGAGTTACCCACAGCTCATTGATCTGAGGCTATGTGTAGATATTGCATGCTGATGGTTGGCGTTAGGCCCAGGGCCTGTTTACGAGTCAATTTTGTTACCCACGGCTGCGCTCCCGTTTAGCGAAGGCATCGGTTAAAAAATCGATTAACGACAAAGAATTTCGATAGAAATTTACTTTTGTTAAAGAACAAAATTTGAGTTAAGAAAGAACTAAAGCTGTATGACCGGGCACGTAATCCGACTTCCGAGACGACATATGACGCCTACTCCTGCGGCAGACTCAGCTTCGACTGGACGTTCGTAATCTTATTCTGTTCACATGTATCTTACATAGCAATTTTTTGAATCATGTGAAGAATTAAAGGCCTCAGTGATGTCTTCAAAGAAGGTTAAGAGCGATAGTATTGACGTGGGCAATAGTAGCCTATAAACTTGTTAAATGACGATGTGATGTCATATTTTCGAGAAGTGTTACAAGAAGGCGGAAGCAACAGACACCTGGTAAAGTTTTTCCTACAACCTCAAAGCGACTGAGAAGGGAATCGACCCCAAAGGTTACAATTCCCTATGTTCTGTTGGAGGGAGATTCCTCTTCCAGGCAATAATTTCTCATTTTCTTCCCCTTCTCCCAACCATTCCATCCTGTCACGCCATCACATCACAGTCAAATCAGTATCTCCTTATATGTTTAATAAATGTTTTATTTTTTAGCGCATTTTCTCATTTATGGAAAAAATGTACTATTGTGCTCGCCATGTCCGTCCGTCTGTCCGTCCGGACTTCACGTTTTCATCGACGAGAAAATACGCTCTCTATCACTCACTGCAGTGAGTACTGAGTTATATTTTTTAATGTTTTCTATACTGTTTATATGTTTGTTTAGCTCCATTTAAAACTGTTCTCATTCAACACATGCCAACATAGCCTGTAGCTTTCAAAAATAAGCGAGTCAAGAAGGGCTGGGAACAAATTATTGAATTATTACATATTGAATTATTATTATTGGGAACATAACTGGTGGTATAATTTCACCATTTATGGTAATTTGAAAAACTTATTCTGCTACGAGCCTCGCTGTATTGGTCACGCTTTGTGTGAAGATATGTTTTTATATAGTGTTTGTTTTACTTATTAATGTGTGCAATAGTACGACAAACTAGAAGGCAGTTACTCTAAATATATCGATATTAGGAAACTAAACGATCATTGTTAACTGATCCACATCGGTTCAATATAGAAACTTCCACCCAGTTAAATAAACTCATTCATAATGTATTGTAATTTTCTCAAATATTAGTATGAAAATCTTCCATTACGTAGAATCATTATTCAAACATATAAATTTTAGTGTTATATTCGATTCAGTAAAACTCGCATAATTAAATGAAAATAAAGTGGAAATATATTCTTAATTTACTGGACGAAAGTATTTAAATAGAAGTATGTAACGAAATGCAGAAACAGAAGGGAACGGAATACGGTTCGCCGTGTTCCGCGTATATATTTCGTGACCCTGAATAATGTTTGTATCAGTGTTGATTATCGAAATGCCACAGTAAACAAATATAGTAAAGTTAAATGTAGTACCAATTACTACACTACGTTTCATTATGAACGTTACGTCAAGGTATGGCGTCAGCCTTTGATGTGATCCAACCATGTTATAACAGATACACAACAGAACATAACGTTGCTGAAGTAAAGCGCCCAGTATAATCCCCATGTTCTGTTCTCCTATTACTCGCCCCGTAGAGGAAATGTCGGATTCTGCCAATTCTCCTGCTTAGAATTGCATGTTCTTGCATGCTCATCACAAGCCCTCATGCAAGTTTAACTGGGATGCTA